TTAATTCCTGACAGAAAATACTGATGATAATCCAATATTAGGTATCAAGCATAATTTATCTACAAAAATAGGAGGCTATTAGATGTCAACACATAATAAGAACTCCACATAAGGCTACATGCACACAGAACACTCAGCTCTCCCATAGGAGCAGGAGTTTATCACGTACCTGCCCTGACAACCTGAAGGCCACCTTGTGACTATCAGGAAATCCTCATCACTCACTGCTGATACCACACCAAGGCCAGTTTCACCACACAAATGGCTTGGTGGCCTGCATATCTCAAAATGTTCCTCTCCTTTCACCCACACCTTAGTGCTATGGCTGCCCTCAGAAAAACTACCTAATCTGCCACACTGTGTATCAAACAGAACTGCTGCAAACCCGACCTGGTTTAACTCAGAACAGAGCCCTGCTGCAGTGCAATTTGCAGTCCCCAAAACGTTTGTATTGTCATAATGCAGGTGAGGTGAGTCCATGCAGCAGCACCCACCTAAAGGAAAGGTGCCACTCCAGTTTCCATCCAACTGCAGCGTGAGAACCCAGTGCGGGGGCAGAGACACCTTGAGCTGGTATCGCCAAACATGTTGGGCCATGCAAACACAACCAAGGGTGGAGTCTCATGGGACGTGAGCTTGGGCAGCAAAGCAGTTTAGAAGCTCCCACCCCACCTGCTCATCTCAGTGATCCTGTTTATAGCACAGCTTCAAAAGAGTTTCACTGACACAACAAAAAGATCACAAAGTATGGTGTAGGGGCAGGAAAGAAGCAGCTTCACTGCTGAAGCCAAATCTTGTGAAACTACACCCCAAGTATTAGTTATAGAAAGAACAGCCTGTCTGGTAACACTTGCCAAAGGTTTGTCAAGCACCTGCTCCAGAACATCACAACTCAGACCCAGTAAATATTCCAAAATACAGACTCTGTTAAGGGTTTTATTGAGATGATGCAGTCACCAAATAATCTGAAGTTGCAGAACCAACCCTGAGACACAAAAAAATAAAATAATTTAAAAAAAAATCACCTTGCATTTTCCTTTTTTCTGCAGTTTGAAGATTGAAAGGTGTACTAAAAATATATTTCAAAAACCATTTTTGCAAAATGAAGGTGTGACAGCTGGCAGGGGAGCCAAGAAAGCTTTCTGCTAGCATTTTGTGAAGAAGAGGCTGCAGAACAAGTTTCTCTTAAAAAAAAAAAGTTGTAACCGGTTTATCAGGTTAGAGGAATTCACTGGTTCTTCCACCTCTCCCCCATCCCATGTTTCCAAATGCTCATTTAACCAGCTTGTTTCTTGCTGAATGTGTTGAAAATAAACTGCACCTGCAGCTCAGCTGGATGATCAATAGGCATCCAAACACACTTTAGAGAACTGCTAATTTGCTATCACCTGCTGAAATGGCAACCACTCTATTTTAAATTTGTGCATTGTTTAGGGGAGTGGGGGGAAAAAAAGGCCCAGCTTTGTCTTTCTCTATTTAAGAATATCAATCGAAATAATCATTCACATATTGGATTCAATGTACAGTGTGATGAAAGATCAGCAAGATTAGGACTGTGTTTTAAGCAAACTTTAATACTTAAATGTCAATCCATAGATGAAATCTGGATGCTTTCAACAGGTCCAAAAGCAAACCCAGCTCTCACTTGAGAACCTCTCCCTTTTTATGTGTATCGTTCAAAGTAAGGTGGTAATTACAGCTAAATACTTCAGACAGCTCTCCAAAATTATTAGCTTTTCCTAGACTTATCCTTTGTCAGGAAGACATGCAAATATTGCCTTGCAAAAGGAAAGTAACATGTCTTAAGGCAAGTCCCACTGATTCAGCCAGGCTTTCTGTATGTGAAAAATCAAGAAATGCACAACACTTTCAACTTCGTATGCAATCTTTAACTTAGAACCCCCATGGCTAAAATCAGAGAAGCACATGAGGATGTCAGCTTTTTAATGACAGAGTAATGGGGCTGAGAGGAAGGCAAAGTTCATTTTGGTTTTGCTCTTTAAAAGCAAGCCTTCATTTCTGCAAGGTTTCAGAGAGCAACCGAAAATAATTGTTCCCCCTTAAAAGCTTGGAAATTGAGAAACTATAAAGCTACAGCAGCTAATTAGAAAAAACATAAGTAGAGTGCTAAATAAGCCAGCCCTGTGATTTGAGGATCTGAACAATGAAACCTAGCAAGACTGTAACAGTAATGCAGGAAGAAAACTCTTCCCCTTGGTGAGTGGTGTAGCTAATGCATGTTTAGAGGCTTATGTCATGGGCTCAAGACAGTTCCAAATACACACTTAAACAAGAGATCTCCCACTTTGTTAAATAAAAATCCTCACATTTTTCTACTCAGTAGTATTCTGCAACTGCAATACATCTCATTCAGCAGCACTCAGTTCACCATTGCTGGTCCAACATCAGAGATAAGTTATTAATGCCATTTTGAACTAAATACTTCAAGCAGGCTGCTTCTAAAGGGCACACATTTTATGATTTCAGGTAATTATTTCCCCGATATTTGTATGTACTCACCTTCCCACCCAAAGCATAGCTATCATAACACTGCACATCACCTATCAGAAAATAGAGATGGATCCCAGAAATGCAGTAGTATCTATGGAATGAAATGCTTGTTACCCCGGACAAGTACAGTATTTTAAAACTTGCAGCAAAACACACAGAACATACACTGCAGCAAACATCGTGGTTGTTTGGGGGCACTGTGTTCAGAACCATACTTTGTAAAATTACACAGCAAAAACATACTGATGAGGAACCCTAATTTAGAATATTTCTTAAGACAAACTCAAGTAACAAGCTGTGCGAGATGTAACACTTGAAGAATATGAAGTACAATTGAAAACATACACATTTGTGGAAGTGCTTTCTTAAAAGCAGAGTAAGGACCTAACCACAGGTTACAGGCCTTTGGCAGACTCCATCATTGCTGGAAAGTGAACTAAATAGCAAAAGAAGGCAGCTTTCTGTGGTCAGTGGAAAAACTCCAGACCCACAGCAGCTGATCTACTGTTTACCAGCTCCCGATCACTGAATCAGAACCACAGAATGCTCGAGGTTGAAAGAGACCTCTGAAGCACAGATAAAAGTTGCAACAGGTTTGTGCTTAGTGACTCTCACTTCCCTCTAGATGTAGAGACTGGGAACCCAAGGCAAAAGCCAGAAGTAGGCACTGAAACTTTCATTTACATGACTGAGATATGTGCTAAAGTGAGTGATTTCCAGCTGCATCATCAATTTTCTACTACAATCCAAGCAAGGTGTGAAAAGCTAATTTCATATACTCTACAACATTATCTCAAATCAAGGTACCAGTCTACTTCCTTTTCCTCCTCCTTTTCAAACAACCACTTCACCACCCACCTGCACTTTTGCTAATCAAAATGCTTAACTGAGAAAAAAAAAATCCATATATGTTGAGAATATAGAGGTTTTCTTTTTGCCACCATTGCAAGCAGGAGGTTGAATTAATTCTCTTCTAACTCCCAGAAGGAGTCAGGATACATGGAGGGGAAGCAAGAATAGTTTAAGTAAGGTGTGTTCCAGAAGACCTATGATGGAACTAGCCACATCACAACTGGCACCCAACAATTAACAGCAAAATCATTATTTAGTTGCATAGATATGCAAACAAAAAGGAAAAAAAATTGTTGTTTTTCAAGAGTCTCTACCCACCTACACACAAAGGTAGTATTTCCTTTTATTTGCTAAAGCAGACCCACCTACAGTGCAATTTACGGCAATAAGATACAATCTTTCATAAAGTATTGAGTATAATTAAAGTGTGTCTGTTATAAAGGTAAATAGAGTGTACTAAGCTAAGCTGTTCCAGATGTCTTTAGTGCAAGATCTGGGACAAGATCAAACCTGCAGCTGCACATTTTCTCAGGGGTTATTATAGAGCTTAAAAAAAAAAAAAATCACCCCTTGGTCTTGGGCTTCAGCAAAACCAGTGCAAGCAGAACAAATGCCACCTGCAGCTAATGCTGACAGATTCTAAGACACGTAAAAGTTACATGTTCAAAGACACTCACTACAAAGTGTAGTGTTAACCATTCCAGTATCAAAGAGGGTTTAGGACCAAGTCTGCCAAGTTACCTGTGTCACCAGAAGTTACAGCAACATGAACCTGTTCTACTGCCTAAGCAAGTTTCTCACTGAAACACACCTACGATGAATCAGACAAGGTGTGGAAAGCCAGGTTTATGTGTTACAGAAAAATGCACTATTGTATTTTTCCATTCAAGCACATTTTGTGTATAAAAAAGACAGTCAAAGCAAGCAAACTTTCAGGAACTGCGTATGTATACACTACTGGCATTTAATTATTATAAGTAACTTCGGTCTTCTTGAGATGTATCATACAAACTTACAGATTTACTGTCTTAGTGGGACATTAAAGGAGCCAAAGAGCAAAATTACAGAAATCATAGGGAAAAAAAACTTTAATCACTTTATAATCCACTAATTAAGCTCATCTGGAAAAGAGTGATACACAAGAAATACAGCTGATGTTATATGAAAACATAGTTTTGAAGATTTCAACTAACTTTTAAGAATAACAAATGAGGAAAAAGTCAAGTTTTTTAATACCCATGATAGCAGTGAACCTGTAGATTAAAACAAACCACGTGAATTTTGAAACTTTGATTAGCATTGCTATATTAAGTAGTATCCTTACCAGCCTACTCTTTAAGGCTTAAGAGAAATTTAGGGTAAAAGCAGACCACCAAAATAACCAGAAGTCAGATCTTCCAAGGACTTACAGCATCAGCTCAAATACTCTGGTATCACACAAAACTCTTTCAGAATTATGGGGTTCTCATTTCAAATGGTTCGGGTCCCTTTTGGGTTAGCTTTAAAACAAGCATGGAAACTTCCTAGTGAGTTCAAAGCGAAAGGCAAAATTAAAGCCTATCTCTATTTTCAAATCCGTTAAATCTGGTTGGCAGGTTTGCCCTGAAGAGCCCCTGCTCCCAAGGGCAGCACCTCACCTGTTGAAGAACCCGGTCCAGCGGTTCGGCTTTGCTCAGTCCCTCTGGCGTTAAGGCACTGACTTCGCGACACTGGTCACTTAAGTCCAAGTTGTCTGCTTTCACCAGGGATTTGTGTAGTGTCCCTACCTAAAAACATTTAAGAAATTATGGACAAAAGTGAGGCCCAATGGCATGAGCTCTTTAAAAGGCCGCGCTGGGCCCGCAGAGCGGTCAGAGAGGTGCAGGGGCCGGGAGAGGTGCAGGGGCCGCCCAACAAGAGCCAGAACAGCATTTGTCTATTTCACAAATCGGCCCCTTGGGCCTCGCTTCCCCTCCCTCCCACCCGCCAGAGCCACACGCTCTGCTTTGGGGGGTCCGCGCCCGTTTCCGTGGGGTGCCTGTTGCAGTTAGCACCCATTTTCGCGGGAGTTGTTAATTGCAAAGGGAAGATCACTTAATGTTAAGGCAGCTTCGTTAATCTATTAAGGAAATTGATAGTCGTGTTTGTTTTATCAAAGCCCTTCATCTCTAGGGGGCTCTTGTCTATGATAGGGCTTTTGGGGGGGAAAGGAAACTGGGGATGACTTTTCGATCAGCCTAAGAATTAAAATAACTCAATAGTCTCTTAAAAGCTACCCAAATATTGGTTAGAAATATTTGGGTAAAGAAAGAAGGAAAGAAAGAAAAAGCTCCCGCAGCAGGCCGCAAAGGGTCCGGTGGTTACCGTGAGCCCGCTCCCAGGGAAGCGTGCGTGCTCGGAGCCACCCGGGGCAGCTTTTTGTTTTAAAGCTTCGGAAGTCCGTAGACATCCTCGAAGCTACACACGTTTTAAGGCGGACGGGGCAGCGAGGGGTGGGAAGCGACCAAACTTTCTTTAAAAGTTACTTCTTCCCTTCAGACGGAACAAAAAGGACCTTCCGGAGTGTGCGCCCCGGGCAGGGACTGACCCCCGGGCACGGCCCCGGGCAGGGACTGACCCCCGGGCACGGACTGACCCCCGGGCTCGGCCCCCGCCCTCCCCTCCCTCGGTGCATTTGTGAAATGAACAAACGGCTCCGGGCAGGCGGCGAGGGCCGGGGCAGCCCCCTCGCCCCGTGCCCGGGGAACGCGCCCTCGGCCCGGATCGAAGCCATACCTTCTTGCTGTGTAGATCCACAACTTGCCACACCAAGAGAATTAGTTCCCTCTCATCCGAACCCAGTTTAGCCCCATATGCACCAGCTGTTGCCCCAAACAACACCACCAAAGAGTCACTGTGCGAAGCCGTCATGACCACAGGGGGAAACAACTACAATCAAAAGCAAAGGTCAAAAAAAAAAAGAGAGAAAAAAAAAAGAAAAAGAAAGACACACTGACAAACAAAACAAAAAAATCCCCACAAGGCTCACCCCCAACCTCCAAGTAATCAAAGGGGAAAGGAGCAAACGAGGAGTCACAATATCAAGAGGAAAGAAAGAGCTATTTAAGGAGGTAGGGTGTTCGAGGAAAAAAAACATGGAGAAAGCAAGCTCACATCTCTACCTGTTCCCGGTGCTCTCCTTCCCGGGGCTGATTGGGAGGTGGAATTAGCAAGCTGTGGGTTTCTTTCCCTCTGACATCATGGCAGAAGCTCAGCCTAGCCTTGGTGCTTTTTTTTTCCTCTCCTTTTTTTTTTTTTTCTTCCCCTTCCCCTCTCCTGAGTTACCTGCCCTTGGTGCAGCTCATGTGACTCTAGTCAATCTCCCAAAGGGACAAGGCCATTGGGCCTCTGAAAAAGGTGTAGGAGGGACGGAGGGAGAATCAACGCCTGGCTAATCTGGCCTGATTGGTTTTTGAGGGAGATCAGAGGAGAACTCCCTTTCTCTCTTTAATTCTGCCCGCAGGAAGTGCCTGTACCTGCTTTCAGTTTTGCGGGCTCCTGCCCGGCGCAGGCAACGCGCGCTCCGGCCCCTCGTGCGGGGGATACGGGGCTCTGAGCACTCACACCCGGCCCGTTTCCTCGGCAAATCTGAGGAATACACGCGTAGAGTTGCTAAAACACAATTTATGACTTAGCATTGAAATCCACGAAACAGAAGTCTCTACCTGCTCCTAATTAATTTCCTTTTGTGCACGTTGCTACGTGTGTATCCAGCGGCCCATGCCAACGTTAATGTGTAATAAAGGTGTAGTATTCTACAAGGATTTTAAGGGATATTACAGACAGAAAGTACTTTGTATTTTAGGCCCTATTCTCTAGTTTGTAAAGTAGGTCCTAGGAAAATATTTTTTTGTTTGTTTTGAGAGAGAGTGTATGTAGGAAGTTTTGCAAAACAGCAATATAAAGTCCTGCATTTTCTACCCTACAACTGCTCGGTAATGAACCAGCTCCTGGATATTAACTGCAGACCAAGCTGGACAGCTGCTCTCTATACCTCTCTCGTTTCACAGGTGAGAATCCACAATGGGAAATCATCACCCAGTTTAGCTGCTACAAAAACACTGCTAAGCATTTCTGCTTGGCAGCAGCAGCAGTAATATTTGTAACATTGCAGACTGAGAGAATTTTCAGAGGTATTGTCAAACTCAAATTTATTTTAAAGCAGAAAAGAAAATTAAAATGCCTCTGAACTGTTTCAACAGTTATTATTTTTCCTATTGCCACCACTGAGGAGCTACTAATGATTTTTAAAGGCCAGATGCTGCTAGTTAGACTAGTAATAATATTTATTTTGCTTAATTAAATCTTCAGTTTGTACTCCAATATTAGTGTTGTGTTGAAATACAGTTTTCACTGAATGAAAAATCATGCTGCTATTTAGCTACTAATGTCTATCATGGGAAAATGCAGAGTTGGACATTTAACTGAATAGCTGATAGCTTTAATTAGTAAATCATATTTTCTCATCTTCTTTTAACATGCTAATTTTATAATTGGTTAATTATAACAGTTATTGTGGACCTCCTTCAGCAAACACTGATTCACATGCTAACACCATCACTAAGACTAATTCCGTTTATTTCAATGAAAATAAACTACATTTCAAGGATGCTGTCTCATGTGAAGTACCTTAGAAGTTATGTATTAGAAGCATTTACCTGACAGAGGCCATGCAGGAAACTCTGCAGTGCACAGGTGTATCTCACTGAACATTACAAGACAGTTGTTAAACACCTCTCAGCTGTTGTCTCTGCACCTCACATGTGCAGCTGCCTGAAAAGCAATTCTGAAGATATTTCATTGGTACAGAAAGGGCAAATGCCAAAACACTCAGAGATGAAAACTTTAATCTGCAATATGTATTTATATACTCAAATGTTTTCAGCTTTACATTTTCTGGCATTGCTGAATTTATGCAACAGCTATATTTTCCTCTGTCAATACATTTCTAGAAGTCATCAGTAGAATAAAAACCCACTTATATTCTTTTTGGTTACTTATATCCTTTGGATATAGTGGTAATGAAACAGCATAGCAGCCTGATCATTGAGCATGGGATGCTTCTTATCCCCAAAGTCTGTAATAAGAACCATAAAAATACCTTGACTGCAGGTGTGAGAACTGTTCCTCTTACCCCGAGCTGTTCTCCTCCTCCCAGCCACACTTATCTCGTGGGGTGTTGGAGGGGAGGCAGTGTTTGTACACAGACCTGTAAACACAGATTTTACCTGCAGCTTTGTTCACAGAAAAAAATGTCCCCTTCTGTTGCAATTTAGCTGCTTCATGAGGGTGTCATTTTGTAGCCCTAATGTGTATTTCACACATAATGGGATTATAATGAGCAGATTTCTATAGAAGATCATGCCCATGATAAATTCTTGGCCAGGCTGACATATGTGATCCCAGGCTCCAGTGAACTGGCACAGAGAATGCCACTACATACGTACTTGTCTTTTAGGATCTATAGGAAAGAAAAAGTATTGTAATTCACTTAGAGCAACATAGATTAAAGAAGTCCCCCTCAGATCAGTGTCAAAGACCCTTGAAATCTTATTTGAAATCTATGCAGGGTATCAAGGCTAGTGAGCTCAAAAGCTTCCGTACTTTTCACAATTATATTAGATCATCTCATAAAATGTAGCCCCTCTTCAAAAAAACCCATCTGGTTTCTACTATCTTGATTCAAATAATTCTACTGTTATTAATTTATCTAAACTATTCTAGCTAAATGAACTTCAAACATATTCTAAAATGTTTAAAAGAAAAAATTAAATAAATGCTGGCCTTCCTGGGATATCAAACATTTTAAAATATCAGATTAGGGTTTCTCATTCACCTTCTATCCACAGCCTTCCATCTCCCTGCCCTGAGTTATACGTCTCTGCAATGATATTAAAAAATCTGAAGGAATGACATTGCCTGTCTCCACAGAACAGCAACAGGATCCACTTCCTGAAAAACATGTGGGATAAGCCCTTGTACAGTGAGCATAGCAAAGTTAATTTGTAACCAAGATCTTGCTGAAATAAAGAGTTGTTGCTCACCTTTAGCTTTAATCCTGGCAGGCATATTTGTACAGGTACTTGTTTGTAGGCTCCATACAAGGATAACGTCTCATAAATGTAACTGGGTGGAGAATAAAAGTTTTAAAGATGGACATTCATTGTTATGCAAGCTCAGTACTGTAGATATTTTGTTTGTTTCTTATTAATCAAGGAACTAAGACTAGAAAATAGATCAGATGACAGCATGACAACACTGAGCAAACTCATTAAATGCATTGTGAGTGCAGTGGATAAATCTTGGATAAATCTAGTTGCTTTTCATTCTTAATATACACACTACACTGTTTCATGAGATGAGGAGAGGAGTGGAAAGGAGGGAAGGGGAGGAAAAAGACCACCACCTCTTTTACCTGTATTACGTTATTATTAAAAATTCCTGTGGACTGAATGTCCTAATCACTGAAGCCCTTTTGTTAAAGCCGACTATGAAACTTGGAGATGTGGGATCTGGAGTAATATCCTAGATGCTTTCAGATCTACAGAAATACTTCAGTTACCTTTCAGGGAAGCTAAAAGTCAATCTTCTGTTCCAAACTTGTATGATATTGAGAAGTTATTTGTCCTCATGAATATTTTACTCATCAGTTAAAAAGAAAAAAATATGATGATGTTTAACCCTGAGACATGCCCTGAGAAAAGCGAATTAACTTTGAAGATGGATCTGACTTCAAAATTGGCTGTGCTGGCAGGGCAGAGAGTTTGGACCCAAAGACGTCCAGAGCTCTCTTCTAGACGAATTGTTTTTGTGATTCTGAGAAACAGAGATACTAAATTAAATATGGAGCCCTGGTGTTTATCTGCACAATAGGGGTAGTAGTAAACTCTCTGCGTGCCTCAGCAGCTCCACAGTGAACTGGCACAGGAAGTAAAAGATCTGTGAGTGATCTGTAAGCAAATGTGAGAAGACATTTAGACTTCATATCAACTCAGTCCTTGGCTCCTGGGTTGGATTATAAGCAACTGCAGCAATATTTTCTGAAGGAGGAGCTTACCGTAACTCCTGAAACATAAACCCATATGTAAAATATTTTCTGGCATCCTTTCTTCAACAGCAAATGAGTGGGAAAAGGCATGGGAGAAACTGCTTAACAGTGTTCTTTGATTCCTGTCTAGATATTTGGAGAGATCTGATTTTTTTGGTCTGACAGGTAGGTCTGTCATTCTTACAAGTGCAATGTAGAAGCCTTGAAATAATTTCCATCAAGATATCCACAGAAGCTTGGCAATATGCAAAAGAGCTTCAGAAAGGTGGTTCTGATGGATTACTACCTTGCAGATACTAACACCATCAAGCATTGACTTAGATTCCTGTATCAGTTGGAATTAAATTTCTATTGACTTAAAGGTAAATTAAAACATAAAACTTGTGACTAGACAAATAAAAATGGAATTACTTCCCCTATTATTTTACATAGCTTCTCTCCTTTATGGGATGACAATCAATCTAGTGTTTTAACCCTACAAAGGTTTTATACATGCTCAGCTCCCATTGGATATAGGTGTGTGCTGTTTAGCCAAATTTCTCTAGATTACAGGTATCAGGCTTTTCAAAATCTATGCATTTACTTTTCTACCAGATTTATGGACAGATCAAACATGCATGCATAGTAGTGTCTCTT